AAAGAAAGAAAGGACAATGGATCTTTATCTTGCCACTGTTGTTGAGTTGCCCCATCAGTCCCACGCAGTTTACCTTCACACTTCTTTTTAAGTGATATAATTTAAAATCTATCTGCCTAAGCCACCTTTGATTAAGTATTTTCAGCTGAAGAGATTCCAAGATGATACATTATCCTTCCTTTACAGACCTTACAGCCAGCGTGGAAGAAACAAAACTGGGATACAAGGCCAGGCAGCTGAGGTCCATCACAGCAAAGGGAAACCAAAGCAGCCTCTCTCCCTTCCTGACCTCTCCACATAGGCTGTAGTGAAAGAGAAAGGGAACAAAGAATGTGTGCTCTTCCTGCAAGTCATGTCCTATCACACACACACACACACACACACACACACACACACACACACACACACACACACACGCTCAACCAGCGGTCGGAGTTATAAAATTCTCCCTTTCCTTGATACCTTAGATACCTAACAATTTCCCGCACTAATTCTACAGGTGTTTTCTGCTGAAAGTGTTTCCAGATTGTCTGCAATATTATTCCTTCTTGGCATGTCTCTTGGTAAAGCACTAGCATAGGTAGCTGTTTGAGGGTGGAATAGTATTCCCCAAAACATGTCTTTATCTGGCCTTGTTTCTAATGGAGATAAAATTACCTGGTGTTGTCAGGCTCAAAAGATGGTACTTGAATCATTGCTTTATTCAGTGTATTACATTATTATAAAATTTGGTTCTTAAACTACATCTTCTCCAGTGCTGTCCTGAATTTTTCATTTGATCTCTCCTACCTACTTGCCTTAAAAAAGAAACAATCCAATGCAAAACAAAATGGTAACAAAAAGCAAATAACTGAAATACTAATTGTAATTTCCAAAATCACCCTGAACAGATATTCATCAAATGTATCTATGTAACCAATTTATGGGGTTTTTTTTCAGTTATGATGCTATAAAATGAACTCCCTTCCTCTGGCTACAGTACCCTTTGGCACAAGTCTCTTCCTTCCCATTTAATTTCCATCCCTATTCAACTACAGCACAAGAGATCAGAACATTCCATAGTGGGAACGCTATTGCATTTATTTGAAAAGAACACTCAGGTTTAAATCCAAAATTTTGACTTTAGAGGTGCTTGGGAGAGCCCCACCTGTAAATGATCTTTCAGATTAAGAGTTATCTTGGCTATATTGGAGTTCTGCATCAAAGAGTTGTGAGCCTCAGCACATCCTCTGCTACCATGTACTACAGCAAAGAAGCCATGGTAAAGGTCAGTTCCCCAGATTAAAAAAAATGTGCTCCATCCTTGAGAAGGGCAATCAGGCTCCTGCAACTAATCAAATGGCCTGCAAGCGGGGTTGGTGCCAATGAATTATGTCTTTCCTACACATTCAGAGAGTTAATCTATACCTCAAGTCTATCTTCTACTGTCTTTACAGATCAATGAAACCCATTCACACAGAGGCAGAAAGGAAACAAGATTTCTACAAGTTAAAATAAAGCACTTCAGAAAAAAAGTCAATTGGAAAGAATTCAAACTAATAATTTAGACATTCAGCTTTTAGTTTCTGCTCAATGACTAGCAAATTATGTGTCTTTCAGAAAAATACTTAACCTTTCTAACTAGTCTCAGTTTTTCCATATGTGAAATAATGATGGTAATAATATAGTCTGTATCATGATATCTTAGTGGCCTGACTTAAGTTCCTACAATTTGTAAATTGTAAGATGATATTCAACTGTAAGTCTTCTATGTCTAAAATCAATGGCCTTTCTATTGAGCAAGATCATCAGTGCGATTTAAAACTGAGGATACTACAATCAGAATTCCAGGGAATTACCTGGGAATATACAGAGACTAAATACTTAGTTTTCACTTTCTTCTTTGTATCAACTTCATTCCTAGGACAAAGGTCATAGAAGCGAAATGAGAATAAGCTGGTTTTCAGAAATAGGAGAAGGAGCTCTACAATTACATAGAAAAGAGAGACACAGGGAGGAAAGTAGGGGGAGAAATGGCAGTTGAGGGCATTGTGGAAGTTGTTGAAAGCTTTACAAATAAGAAATTTTTAGCCAAAGAATTATTCTGGTTGCAATGAATACTTCTCTCTTTCCTGTCATATAAGGATATCTCAAGAACTTTGATGAAAGAAATTTTTGGTTATTTTTTTATCCACCACTCCATTACAGGCATTTTTACAATCTATAGTAAATTGAACCATGAAGCGTAATCAGCCACTATACTGTGTATGTTTTCCCCCTCAGTGTTTTTTGGAATATACAAAAGTAGTTAAATAAGTTGGCATGCTCGATTATTCTTTGGCCTAATTTGTTGCCCATTCTTAAAAAGAGAAAGAACCCATATATAAGATTTCTGAGAGATGAGAGATTAGAAATATCAATGTAGGGAAGAAAAACATTCTATTATTTCCTCTGAATTTATTTACTCTTTTTATAGATAAATGTGTGCATTTTCTAAAGTAAATCTGAGGTATCTCAGAGAAAAAATGCACATAACTAAGCTACTAAAAGTTAAATAAAAGAAGTCTTTATTTTTCTATTTTATACATTTTCAAGGAAAGGTAGTATCTTGCTTCCAAAAGCAAATATTTGTATAGCATACTAAATACAGATTTTAAAACCCCA